AACACAATCAAATTCTGATCAAACAGCCAGGGTCCACTATCTAGGACACGATTCATATCAACAGAGTGGAAAATTTTAAATAGATACACCCGTTCACCAATTTCCTGAATTGAGATTCCTTTTCCAGGACGCCATGGGTCAGCTATGAAATCCTTGAAGAACGGAAATCGAATGACTTTGTCCGTGAGAATCGTCCCCAGTTGCCGTGTCTCCCTTTTCTTCGTCCTCGAGCAGCAGTTCATCTTCGACGCCTCCAATTCCCAGACCACCATATTTGACGGCAAGACTACCCACTTGCTCATCCTCCTGGTCTCAATCGTCCTTGCACCTGTCATCCGCTTCGTCCTCCGTCACCCTGCAGTTGCGTTTGTCTGAGCCGCACCACGATGCAAAGGAGCGTCGATAATCTGCGCCGCACGAAGACGGCGAATCTTCCGCACCCTCAACTCTCGCTAGGGCGAATCGTATAACCACGTTTAAAAAGCGAGACTTAAAAAAATATAGCAAAATGCACATCCATCCATTAAATAGACTAACAAATTTCAATTTAATTAAGGAGAAAGTACAAATATACTCTGAAATATACCGAGTATGTGAAGATTTACATATACCCTTGAACTTTTAAAAGATGTAAAAATACCCTTCATGTTCTTATAAAGGAACAAATTTAACCTTATTGACTTTAAATAATTAAATAAAATAAATTTTAAAAACACCAAAATTAAAATATACCCTCCGTCCCCCTAAGTTTGGGACAAGAGAAAGTGGCACAGTTATTAATAAAAGTGAGTTTATGTGGTTGATATTGAATTGATAAAGTAAGAATAAAGTAGAATCATTTAGAACCACACAAACTTTACCAAATAGGGTATGAGACAATCTTAATGGGACGGACCAAAAAGGTAAAATGGGACAATCATAGCGGGACGGAGAGAGTAAATTTAAATTTGAAATTGAAAAATAAAAATGTACTTGTGCCCAATTCCCCCTTTTATTATTTTTATATCACAATTTAATATTATTAGTAAATAAAAATGTTTCAAAACTTTATTATATATTTATATTTTTTTTTTGAAAAAGTGTTAACATATGTGTTGCAATGTAAAAAAAATCATTATAAAATAACATATGTAGTGTTTTGTATGATGTTCAAAATTACAAAATAATGAATTTAATTTTATTAGGTTAGGAAAAATGGTCCAATAAACTCTTCTACTATACTATTGGGAAAGTATCATTTAAGCCCTTTTGCCATTACAAAATAACAGTAAAAGGGAAACAACCTGCTATAATAAGTTGGAGTCATGTTTGTCATTTTTTCCATTTTCCCTTTTTTTTTCATCTTTTCTTTTACACTCTAACCATCTAATTGTTTCTCGCTGCATACGCTGGCTTAATTTTTTTCTTCATCTACCATTCCAACATTTTTTTTTGTTTTTCCTTCTTTTTCCCCGTTATTTCCTTTTCCATTGGTTGTCTTTCTCCCAAGAAATGTTTTTGGCATTTTTGTAATTATTTCAATAAATTATCATCTTTACTTGTAAATATTCTCATTCTTGGAAAAATAAAAATAGGATTTATTATTAAAGATTTTTTTATTATTAGAGAAATCACTCTTTAAATCTTTCAGTTATTGTCCATGTTAAAATGTAGTCCTCATCATTAAAATTGAACTAACACCGTTTATTTATGTAACATTGACATTTTTAATATTGTAACTTTAGACACAGTAAAAAAATGCACGTTCGTACATATTTTTGAAATCTTCCACACCTACATTAAACCTTTTTAATCTCTAAAGTTATATGATAGATAAAAAATGTCGAACTTAATTAAAATCGTATAAACAATAACAGTGTTGCACTGACAAAAAAGGTTTGGCCTTCTTATTAAAAAATGTATACTTTTTCCTTATATTTTCAAATTTTCTTTTTGACATTTTTTTCTATAAAGTTAGGCGATAGATAAATATCAAGAAAGAGAATTCTAGTTTTACAGATCAACAATAAATGTCTAGCATAAACTAAAAACTTTTCAAGCACGGTAAAAAAATTGTACACTTTTTGCGGCACTCATTTACAGTTTTAATCATGAGCTAATTACCGGAGTAATACTAAAGTTAATTGCACAAATAGGAGTGTCTAACGAAGGAAGGTTTCGTAGGAGTAAATTCATCATGATTAGACAAAAATAACCCTGATTCATATTTTCTAATTTTAAAAACGTAAAATTAAAAATTGTTGCAACCGTAAACATTCAGCTGCTACTCTGCTAGCTGCAACACTCATGCCACCCTCGCCCATATTCTTACAGCCGCTACTCTTGCAGCCGCTGCCCTCGCCGGAATGGTCTGCCGCCGCATACGACGCTGGCACGGCGGCACCGCCAGTCGCCGCCCCTAGATAGTTCAACCATCCATCGCTGCCCAGACCAACATCACCATCTGTCGCTGCCCTAACCAGTTCCGCTATCCGCCACTGTCAGTGTTGATTCTGGGGCCACACTTCACCTCCGAGTCAAAACTCCAGCTACATAAATCTTCCATTAAGTTGGAATGTTTTGCTTTGTAGATTAATTTCAATTCTGCCATCAAATGATATACAAACCTGCCATAAAGATGACAGATTTATCTTGGAATATTAACACAAAACTGCCATAAATTTGGCAAAAATATAGTCAATAACCAAATATTAAAAACTATTTTTTTATATAGAATAAGAACTTAATGCAATATGAAATTAGAAGCACAAAGCTAATAGCAAAAACTAAAAAACAGTCGGTTAACACTAAAGTTTTTTTGCCATAGTAGATTGTCAGAATACACATTTCTGCCATAAACTTGGCAAAATGTGAAGTCATCTTCCAAAACTTTGGAAAAACGATTTTTTTAAAAAACTAAGAAATCAGAAATCAGAAATCAGAACGGCGAAATAGAAGGCCAAAAACTAACAAAATTAATGTCAAATCCCAGAAAAATGGAAGAATAGAAGGAAAATTAGAAAAAATCAGTATCAATTTCAGAAAATTAGAAGAATGAGGGAGGAGGAGCATGAGGAAGAAGACGAGAAGAAGAAGTAGAAGAAGAAGAGGAGGAGGAAGAAGAAGAAGAAGGAGATGATGAAGAAACCTGGCAGCGATCCAAAGAGAAATCGATGAAGTAAATCTGGTGCGCAGAGAGAACGAACGACCTGTTGCGGCGCAAGGCAGGCAAGGATTTCGGCAGCGATGATGGTGCGCAAGGATTTCGGCATCGATGGCGTGAAAGGAGTACCATGGCGATGAATTGTGCGCAGGAACGATCCATCTATGCGCAAGAGAGAGAAGCAAATGGGGAATGTAATTTAACGTATGTTTACAATAGGAGTAAGATACTACTATTTAGGGTATAAAAAAAACATACACACTCCTATTTAGGAATTTCCCATATGTTTTACTCCTATATGAGCCTATTTCTCTTTTAATCATGGATTTTTCACATCGTTTGTTTTTTGCTTGTTCTCTAACTCATCTAACAAAAGTTGTTGGTACGGAAGATTTTTTTACCGCCTTAAATATTTAAATCCATGCTTGACATTTATTGTCCCAAAACAAGAATTTATCCTTTTGATATTTTTTGTTTGTGACATAATTTTACAAAAAAAGTGTTTTTGTAAGAATATTTTTTAAAATTGGTTCTAAATTACACAATTTTTTGGCCATGCCTGAAACTTTTTATCCCTGTGTTAGACATTTGTTGTCTTTAAAAATTTGTTTTTTCCGATCAACTTTTTCGATTGCCCAGGGACAGAGCCAGACTTGAGTGAAAGGGGTCCGGAATATAATACAAGTATAAAAATATAACCTTTGATGGACAAAAAACATTGAAAATATTGTGCCGATGTTGAATTTTCGGTCATAAAATGTATTTTCAAGTAGAGAAGTTCTAGAATTAAATAGTTATATTAGTTAAAAGACCAAAACTACAAGAGAGTAAAGTGGCACGACTAGTAACGGAAAGAGAGGTAAAAATTATTTTTTATTGAACTAAAAATTCTTGATGATGTGATTTGGTATGTGTAAGTCTTGACTAGTATGTTTAAGTCGTGTCTGATTTGAACTAATAAACATTTGGTGTATACTCTCTCCGTCCTCGATAAAAGTTCCTCATTTGACTTTCAAGTAAACTTACCCAGGGGGTAAATTTTACTGTTTTGGCACTGTTTCGACACTGTTTGGCACTGTTTTGATGTAGATAACTTTCCATTTAAAGAAATGAGAACTTAAATTAGGGACATCCAAATAAAGAAAGTGAGAACTTCTTTCGGGGACGGAGGGAGTATATATTTTATTATTTGTTTTTGGGGGAGCATAGTTCCACTGGTGCTAGTGGGACTCGAAAACTTCTTTAGTTTTTTGTTTTTAATTTCAAAATTTAAATTTATGATTTTTTTTTGTTTTTTAAAATTTATTTTATTTATTTAAAGTAAATAATGATAAATTTGCCCATTTATAAAAACATTAGGGGTATGTTTGCACCTTTTAAACGTTGAGACATATCTGCATCTCCACGTATAATTCAGGTGTACATTTCTCATTTCTCCTCTAACTAAAAACATCTTAATGATCATCTTGCTTGCTTTTTACTCTACTTTTATATATATTTTCACCTTTTGCCACCTTTTTAATTATTAGCTTTACGTCCATGCGACTTTAAGAATTTTACTCACATCTAATCTAATGCAAATAAAAAATAATTCTTCCCCTTTTTTGGAGGATATGTTTATTTATTCATTTATCAAAGTTTTCAATAATTTGACGCGTTTCTATTTACTCCGTATAAGAATTTGGGGCATGCATTCATATCCTTTACTATACTTTTTGACATTTTTTTAATCTTTATCTTTTATTATTTTCCATTTTTAAAACTCATACAGATCAGATTAATCTAGAAAATTTTAGTTCATTTAAAACATCCATAAAAATGTAATCGAGCTCTATTTTTGTTTACATAATAATCACTACCTTAATACATCAAATTAAGCCTCTCAACTTAGAGGAGTTTTAGCCATGAGACTCCTACATAGCTTAATCTTATCATTTGCACTCCTAATTACTTCCACCCAACCGGCTCAAGTGCCGTTCTCCTGCGGCCGGTCCGACCCGCGGACAAAATCCTTCGACTTCTGCCGAACCGATCTCTCCATCAGCGAAAGAGTGAAAGATCTCGTCTCTCAACTCACTCTCGATGAAAAGATTTTGCAGCTCGTTAGCTCCGCCGCGGCTATTCCGCGACTCGGCGTCCCCGCCTTCGAGTGGTGGTCGGAGGCTTTGCACGGCGTCTCCGGCTTCGGGAAGGGGATTTCGTTCGACGGCGCCATCAAATCCGCCACTAGCTTCCCTCAAGTCATTCTCACCGCCGCTTCGTTCGATGAATACCTTTGGTACCGCATTGGAGAGGTAATTGCTTAAACTCAGCTCATCTTTTACCCGATTAGTCACTTCATTAAGGACCCCATGTTGATTATGGCCAACCGCCCTTCCAAAATGATTTGCAAAGTTATTTTTTCTTGGTTAAGATAGTTTCATTTGGTTAACTTGTTTAGCATATCAACACAGTTTAATTTTCAATGTAGTTTTTAAATATACAAACTTTAAATTTTTAAACTGGTTTAACTACATGGAAGGATGATGTAATTTTAAACTCAGTCAACTTTAAAGTCCACACAAGTTATAATTCAATTTTTAACAGATGAATTAAGTAGTTTATAATAAGCAAATTCCACAGGAGGTACCTTACAGGTTTATCTTGTACATCACTCATTAGAAGTTAGAACATGTGAATAATTTAAATGAAAATTCTCGAAATAGATGTAAAACGTTTTGAAATTACAGGGCGTGTTGTTTAGGCAAAGAATTCACTACTTGCTAAACAATTGAATGTTGTTATGGGTCTCGTACAAGAGGCTATGAATGAATGCGAATAGCTTTTGCTCTGAAAATTAATGAAAAGAAAACAAAGAATGCTTTCGAATTGGATTGCTCTGAAACTAAAAATGTTCGTATGAGTGGAATAATTGCCCCTTTGTTTACAGCCAATAATTCTTAAATAATCCTCTTCTCCTATCTTCCAGCCAACTACCCGCCTAAGTAGCCGGCCATCTATTTGAACGTGCTTTGATCTTTTCTTTCTCCCCAAGTATTACTCGAGTCATACATATCCTTTTAGCCTCCACGATCCACTTCCAGGTTGGACTCTGTTTACTCTATTGGGCTTGCTCCACATCTGATTGTCATTCTTGGGCTGGGCTGCTATTAGCATTTTCACACACCAACAGGTGTTATGTTTTTATTTTCCAATTAGGAGTAATTATTGTCAAGCTTGTAAAATACTGCCTTATTTGACTATTTGTGGCGTTGAGACTGGAGATGCCAAAGCATTACGGTAATTACTCTTATTAGGAATAAAAAAATAATCTTATTATAGAATTCACAAACGTTTTTACTCCTAATCAAGACCATTTCTTATAGTTTAAATATAAATATAATTACCTGTATCAACAAAATGCATTGTGTAGTTATAATTAAAAGTACCCTCACTCATCTCACCTAAAACGTCAGAGTGAGAGTTTGCTTCTTGTTTGGAACCTGGCGTTTTTTTAATTAATCAGAAACGACTCTTCTGTGAACTGTGCGAACTTGAACACATGCGCAATCAATCGGTTAAAGGCGATTTCTAGTGCGCGGTAGTGTATAGATGACAGCAGAAACCTCTCGGAGTATATTCTAGTCCATATTATATTTGTAGTCTCACTTTGCTATCGGGGCAATCTCGAAAAATTAATTGTTTCATGAGTAATAATTATATAATTGTTTCGTGAGTAATAATGAAATAAAAATTTGAAATTAATCATTCAGATTAACCCCCCTCAAGGGTTTCGGGTGCGTTTTTTAGAATCCAGGACTAATCAAGCGAAGTCTATCACTTGATCACTTGATTCTCACAAAAAATTCTTAATTTTTTCCCAAGTAATAATTATATAATTAAGGTGAGGTCAGAAGTGGAATATTTATTTAAAAAAGGATAAATTTGAACATATTAAGATTTCAATTAATCAAACGAAGTTTATGTGATTAAACTTTTATAAAAGGCTTAACTATATTTTTAGTTTTGTGAATATACTAATTTTATTTTAAAACCTGCAACTTTCTTTTCCATTTTTATCTCGGTAATATATAACTACAAGTGGTATAGATATACCACTCCCAATTATATTTGAAGTACCTCCTAAGTAGTGGGCAATGTCGAAAAATTATGTTGATTGCTTAACTCCTTTATACATTTGATTTCAATTTTTTTATGACTTTGCTAGATGGTTGTTTTTTATTTGAAATATTTTTTTGAGACATTTTCATTCACAACAATTTTTTTTCCTCAGACAGCAACTTCAAACTTTAATTTAGTCCATTTTTATTAACTTTTAGTTTATTAAAATAATGGGATGATTGAAGGCAATTGGGAAAGAGGCTAGAGCACTGTACAATGCAGGCCAAACAACAGGGTTAACATTGTGGGCACCAAACATCAATATATTCAGAGATCCACGATGGGGGAGAGGTCAAGAAACACCAGGTGAAGACCCGGAAGTGACGGGGAAGTATGCCGTGGCATATGTACGAGGAGTACAAGGCGATAGCTTTGATGGGAAGGTTGCGGCAGATTATCTTCAAGCTTCTGCTTGCTGCAAACACTTTGCTGCCTATGATTTGGAGAACTGGAATGGCAATCTGCGTTATGGATTTGATGCCATTGTAAGTTTACCAGACATTTTCTCAAATGAGTGTTTATTTAGGTTGTTTTCTAATGTGTGTTTGTGCATTTCGTATATATCATTTAATGAGTATTAAAGGTAATGGCTACTACGTATAAAATACTCCCTATTTTGCTTTGTTTAACTTCTCCATATAGTTTTAGTTATAATGGAAAATGAACTAGAAATATTGATCTTTAACTTACATGTTTGATACACTGACACATTATACAAACCCGAAGGGATTCAGATAATCAGATGAATGGTTTTCCTTTTATTTTTTGAGCAAAACAATGGTTTTCCTTTTTTACTCGAGAAGATTAAAGAATAGTTTACAAATTTTCTTGATTGAGACGCCAAGTTTTATCATATCTGTTACTGCGTACTATTGTAATTTGTAACCATCTTTCTTTCAATTGCATTGTGAGGACTTGAGGACACTAGCTATTTTTTTGTGTTGCAGAAATTTGCATGCAAAACTACAAAAGAGCTAGCAAGTATTATCAAATATTTTAAAATATCCTTTAAATAAATTTCCTCAAATAGAAGTAAAATGTTAAAATAAGATTCATTTTTTAAATCTTCTAGCGTTTAAGGGTTAGGTTCACTGATAGCGTTTAAGGGTTAGTAGGGTTTATCAACCACCCACCAAGAGTTAAGTGGTGGCTGAGTGCCAAAATTCTATAAGGGTATTCTTGTCCACTCACAATTTTTTAGTTCTACTTCAGAATTTTTAAACACATCCTATTTTTGTAATTTAGCCGTGTTTTGCTCCTACTTGAATTTTCTCTAATTTCTACGTAGTATGTGACATTCCAAACATGTCTGTGTTAGGATAGGGGTAATACTGCGTACATCCGATCCCTCTTATCCACCGTAGGTGGGACCCTTTGCGGAACTGGGGTAATGATGATGATGATGTGACATTCCAAACATCTCCACATTAAAAGCATAAAAATAATAAGGGTCCGGTTCCAATAAATAGTGGTCTTGCCATGAGAAATGCGATCGTCTCCACTTTTGGTCATCTGAAGTGCACTGTTATACTTAGATAGTTAGATGATTTTCGTCGTCCACTTTTTCTCATTCAAGGTACACCTTTGCAAAGAAGAAAAACTTGACTTATTTACAAAAATGCCACCACATTTTTTAACCCATTTTAATGCATTTGTGACATATTTAGAGCTATTAGATCTTAGATTTGATGCACAGGATTTATTCTTACTTTTCATGGGAAGAAGACTTTTTATTTGATCCAAAATCAAATAATAAAGTACTCCGTATGAGGGATATTTTGAGCCCGTTCGGTAACTCTGTTTTTCGGCTTATCAGACTTATCAGCCAACATTTTAACCAAACACGTAACTTTTGATTTCACGCGCTGAATTGTGTAATGATAAGAAAAAGTAAGGTTGGAGTTACTTTTCTGGCTGTATTGGTTGAAGTTACGGTAGATAATCATTTTAAATATTTTTTCATATATTTTTTTCATAAATCAGCAAAATCAACCATTTCAGCCAGAGCTTCATAAATTTTAGCACAATCAGTCGATTTAGCCGATTTCACTGTTACCAAATGGGCTCTTTGAGTAATTAATGTTGTACCGTTCATAGAATACATTTGTTCTACTGGGGAAATATTACTGAAATTGAAGCATGAACTGAACTTTGTGGCATCTTAAAAGAAGTATGGCAATTTAATTCAAGTACGAACAGAGTAATATACGCAGAAGTTAATGGTCGAGCTTTTTTCTTTATTTTCTCTGAAAAACTTTAAGAGCGGAGCGGAGTATATTCTTGCCATAATAGGTGGTTCGTTTTTCAATGCCTGATAAAGTACGGAGTGTATGCATATGTCAGTTTTTCTAAAATTCAAAATGCCATCTATTACAATGGTGTGGGGTCAGTCACTACTTGCCTAAAGTAAAAAAAAGGGAAATCTGTCAAATAGGTCTTCGAACTTTCATAAAAAATCAATTAAGTCCTTCTATAGGAGACTTTGTCCGGTCATCGCGATTTGGAGCGGTTCCCGGTGAAATTTTTTGATGAAATTTTTTGAGCATCTTATTCATCAAGTCTAGTTTACTCATACCAAATTTCAGCTAGAAATTTAATCGGGAGCGCATTCAAATTAATTCGAGAACGCAAAAATGTGCAGTTATTTTAAAAAATTAATTTGAATGTGTTCCCGGTTGAATTTTTAATTGAAATTTGGTATGAGTAAAGTAGACTTGGTGAATAAGATGCTCAAAAATTTGCACCAAAAAATTCCACTGGGAACTGCCCCAAATCGCGACGGCCGGACGGAACCTCCTATAGAAGGACTTAATTGACCTTTTTATGAAAGTTCGAGGACCTATTTGACAGTTTTCCCTAAAAAAAATAAAACTAACCTGTTTTTCTTTGGGTCATTCATTTTGTACGCAGTCTAAAAGAGGGACCATATTTCTTGTTTTAGGGTTGATCCACTTTTACTAGCTAGTAAATCTGATGAAATTGATGAAATTATAGATAGACAAGTCAATTAGATGAACTTGTTGAAGTAAAAAATATATGTATAAAAATATATTTTATTTTAAATAGAGAAAAAATCATATGAAAAATAGTGAAACCCTATCTAGCAATTTAGTTAGTAAAGTCACTCCAATTTTATTTATTTTCATTATAACACAAATCAGCACGACAAATCAAAATTTACATGTTTTGTTAAAAAGTTGGTTTCTGATAAGGCGAAATTAGGGATTACCAAACAAATTTTCAGTTTCAACCCAATCAATATAAACAAATTAAATTAGACTAGACTATAGCAGGCTTACATAATTCGAAGTACTCCGTAGTAAAATACACATAATCCCATACCATTACTAGAATACACTTAAACATATACTCCCTCTGTCCCCCAATTAAGTTCCCTTTTCCTTTTTGGATAGTCCCTGAATTAAGTTTCCCTTTCCTTATTTGGCAAATTAACTACATCAAAACAGTGTCAAAACAGTAAAGTTTACCCCCATTAATTTTTTTCCTTAATAAGTGTGAAAAGCAATGGAGAACTTAATTGGGGGATGGATGGAGTACATGTCAAAAAATACAGGTTGAAGGGCCAAACTGTTTGTAATGCTCAATTTACCCCCTAAACTAAAAAAACTTCAATTGGCACTCTGAACTAGAAAAAAAGTTTCAAATTTGACTATTTGCAGGTAATCATCTGGTTAGCGCCACGTCGTAATGTGTCAACTGTGCATATGAGGTGGCAACTCAATTCGTCAAATAAGCCACTGAACTCGATCAAATTGTTCAATTCACTCCCTCAACCATTAAAAAGTGTCAAAATTACGAATAATAAAAAAATAAAAAAATTAAAAATACAAATATAACATAAACAGAGGTCGAAAATATAAAATATTTATATTTTGCGGTAAATTCATAATTAAAAATAAAATATAATCTTAAAGAAATTCTTTAACTTTATTTCCATATTTTATATATGAAGATAAACAATACTATATTTAAATTTGTATTTTATGTAATATATCTAATATGTTGTAATATAAACATACTTTTAGGTTTTTCGTTTGATGATTTATATTATGTTTATTTTTCATTTTTTATTTTAAATTTATTTTGGTATAATTAGATATTAAAAGTAATTTAATTAGATGTAATTATATTTTATTGAAGTAAATACTTTTTTATATTTATAGAAGTAAAAAAAGGCATATTGAAGATTTAATTCTATACTTTGTACTAATGATCTAGACCATAAAATTTTTATACTACTTCCTCCATTCCTTAAAACTTTGACAACTTTCCTTTTTTTTGTCCCACTAATTTTGCCATTTTCCCCGTTTAGTAAAGAATTCATGATTTCAGATAATTCTCTGAATTACACTGTACCAATAAACCCATCTATGAAAAGTATTAAAATAATTTTTTCTATTTCAAAAAACGCATCCATTAACTAGTTGTGAATAGTATGAACATACATCAGGTTTGTATTTATTTTTTTTTTCAGAATTCATGAAACTGCAATTTATTAACGAGTAAAGGGTCAGTTTGGTCCTCGAAGTTGCAAAAAAGGCGTCAAATAAGTCCTTATATAGAAGATTCTGTCCGGACGTGCCATTTGAGGTGGCTCCCGGTGGAATTTTGTGATAAATTTTTTTGAGCATCTTATTCATTAAGTCTAGTTTACTCATACCAAATTTCAGCTAAAAATTCAATCGGGAAGACATTCAAATGAATTCTTGAAGATAACAGCGCTTTTAACGGCACAGTTATCTTCAAGAATTCATTTGAATGTCTTCCCCATTGAATTTTTATCTGAAATTTGGTATGAGTAAACTAGACTTAATAAATAAGATGCTCAAAAAAATACATCGAAAAATTCCACCGGGAGCCACCTCAAATGGTACGTCCGGACAGAAACTTCTATATAAGGACTTATTTGACCCCTTTTTTGCAACTTCGATGACCAAACTGACCCTTATCCCATTTATTTACACATGATGAAAATGCTGCATTGCTTTTACTAAATTTGAGGCCCAAAAACTAATTACGATGCTCTTAAACGGATGGAAATAAAGTCACAATTTATTTTAATTATAACCATTTTTTACCTTGAGCTAGTTTTGAAATGGCACAGACTATTTTAATATTATAGTTTTATTTGTATGAGAAAAACTAATTACTTTTTAAATATGGAAGTAAAAACAAGGTAATAATTATTAATTACTTGACATGATAAATTGATAATTAAGTGCTATTCCATTGTGCTGTGATGTATATGTATGTACGTATAGGTGACCCAACAAGATTTAAGGGATACATATCAGCCACCATTCCAGAGTTGCATACAAAAAGCTAAAGCAAGCGGAATAATGTGTTCTTATAACAGTGTGAATGGGGTCCCTAGTTGTGCTAATCAAGATTTTCTTAACAAAACTGCGCGTCAGCAATGGGGTTTTAATGGGTAAGAAATATATCAATGAACCTTTTTTCATTGCCCTCTTATTATTACTCGTACGAAAGCTTTCATATACTTTGGCATATTTAGGTATATTGCCTCAGATTGTGATGCAGTGGGAAATGTTTTTAACGACCACAAATATACAAAAACACCCGAAGAAACTGTAGCAGCTGTACTCAATGCAGGTATACTTGGATTTCTTGCGTCCATTAATTCAAAGAACTCGAAGTATTATACGATAGTAATATAGAGCTTGTTCGGAAGTCTTACTTTTGGGCCAATCACCTTTATGGCACAATTACTTTTTGAGAAAATGACAAATATATGCCTAAAATAAAAATAAGGGGAAATTTTCGTTCTAATGCGTCTACGTTAGAAATTTTCTTTCATACCGATTGTGGTGGCCTTATTGATGTTTACTTTTATACTACAATGACTTATGTGGTTGTGTTTTTGCAATGACAATACCATTGAACTTTTGGGTATGAATTTCTTTTTATCAATAGTGGAAAATTCCTTACTTTTTTTAGCTGAAGTAGCTGAATTGATACTTAAATCAATAAAAAACTATTTTCATTCCGGAGATTTTGCTTTTTTTTTTTTTGCTTCCACTTCAGCCCATTCAGTCACTTAAACCAGTCTTTTTTTGTCTATAAAAAATTCTTATCTTTATTTTTGTGAACAAAAATACTATACAGGGATGGATGTCAACTGTGGGTCATTTTTGAGTCAATATACAAATTCAGCAGTAATGCAGAACAGAGTTTCGGTGGACCAAATAGACAGAGCTTTACACAACCTATTTAGCACGCGTATGAGATTGGGATTGTTTGATAGAAACCCCAAAGACCTCCTCCTTTATGGTATAATTCCTCCAAATGAAGTTTGCAGTCAAGAGCACCAGAATCTAGCTTTAGAGGCAGCAAGAAAAGGCATTGTCTTACTAAAAAATGATCATAAACTGCTTCCTCTGTCAAAGAACAAGAGTATGTCCCTCGCTGTTATAGGACCTAATGGAAATAACGCAAACGTCCTTCAAGGAAGTTACTTTGGCCCTGCATGCAATCCTGTTGAAATATTTAAAGTCATGCAGAGTTACGTTGGTTATGTTTCGTTTCTAGAAGGTTGCGTTGATGGAGTGAATTGTACTTCTGCTACAATTGATGAAGCGCTAAACATTGCCCAAAATTCCGATCAGGTGGTCCTAGTAATGGGATTGAGTCAGAGTCAAGAAAGGGAAGAGGTAGATCGTGTGCACTTGGAGCTTCCAGGGGAGCAAGAGCTTCTCATTACGAATGTCGCTAAAGCTTCAAAGAAGCCTGTCATATTGGTGTTGGTTTGTGGTGGTCCGGTTGATATTACGTTTGCTAAATCAGACCGTAATATCGGCAGCATTTTATGGGCTGGTTATCCCGGCGAAGCAGGAGGCCTTGCGCTTGCAGAGATTATATTTGGCGAGCACAACCCTGGTAAGAATTTTCTTAACCTCAAACAATGACAGATCTATTTAAAGAAATGCTATACTCTGTATATTTTAGTACTATATATATATATATAATTATATATATATATAGAGAGAGAGAGGGCAGTTCATATGCATAGCTCCGGAAGAGCATCCCCGTGCGGACAAGACCATCAGAGGATCTTCCCGGTGGAATTTTTTTGAGCATGTTCCTCATCAAGTCTAGTTTATCCATACCAAATTTCAGCTCAAAATTCGATCGAGAAGACAGTTAAATAAATTCTGGAAAAACCTGCGCATTTTGCGCACATATAATGTGCAGTATGTTTCCAGATTTTATTTGACTGCCTTCCCGATCGAATTTTGATTGATATGGATAAACTAGACTTGATGAGGAACATGCTAAAAAAAATTCATCAAAAATTCCACCGGGAAGACCCTGTGATGGTCTTGTCCGCACAGGGCTTCTCTTCAGGAGCTCCTGATAGGAACGAGACTATATATATATATATTCGTCCTCGTGGTGAACTCGTGGCCTCAAATTTTTTCCAGAGCCCCGTAGAAATATTTCTAGCTCCGCCACTAATCTTCTGTATAAACAAGTCTCTTTTTGTTTATGTAATGTACTTGCAGGAGGAAAGTTACCAATCACATGGTACCCTAAAGATTACATTAAAGTTGCTATGACAGATATGAATATGAGGGCCGATACCTCTAGAGAGTACCCAGGGCGTACATATAGGTTCTACGAAGGTCCTACAGTTTTCAACTTTGGCGACGGTCTTAGCTACTCAACCTATGCTTATGAGTTCACTTCCACTACACCAACCATGGTGAACTTGACCCAGCTGTCAACTGTTAAAACATCTATGGGATTCGATTCTGTCAATTACATGTCAGTGGATGATATTGAAGGAGAGACATGCGAGAAGGCAAAGTTTTCAGTCACTGTCGGAGTTCAAAACTCTTTGGAAATGGACGGAACTCACCCAGTGCTGCTTTTCATGAAGCCTACTGAACGGAAAGATGATGGATATCCAGTGAAACAGCTGGTGGGGTTTCAAACTGTAAACTTAAAAGCAGGTGAACGGGAGGAAGTTGTATTTGAACTCAACCCTTGCCACCATCTCAGCACTGCAAATAAGGATGGATTAATGGTGATTGAAGAGGGGACTAAGGATTTAGTTGTTGGAAACACAGAACACATTGTTAACATAGCTTTTTGAATCTTATTGAATACTGAGTTTAGTGATGAAATTGTGTTGTTGTTGTTGCTGCTTCACTTCTCGTTAATATACACCTGCCTTTCTTTCAAGATAAAAACAGCGGAATTGCTTCGACTTTAATTTATATTTATAGTTATTTACTTATTTATACTTATAGATACGTAGATTTTTGTTAAGCATATTTCTTACCTCACAATGATATAAAATAATACTAGTAAATTAGAGTATTACAATTTGTTGTTTTTGACATTGTGAATTAAGGTAGCCATCATTCCGTCAAGTTATCCAATCTGGTTTGGAATAAGGGGACGTGTGACGTGCTAGATTATTTGTCAACACTTTTTTTTATAAAAAAAACTACAAGACCCTAGATTACTGCTAATGAAGATGGACAATAGAGTTAGTAGTTCAGGGGATTAGGAATTTAGGACCTATCTCTAATTATTTTTTATCCTTTTTATTTTATATTATCTTTTTTATAATAGCTTATGTTTTTCACTTTTCATTTTCTTTGTTTTCCTTTTAGTGGTGATATCATGTATCGATTCATGTTAGCCGACATCAATATCCTTTGAGACTAAGGCTTGGATGTTGTTGATGTTGTTGTTTAGTCTAGGGATTAGGACCATCTCTCATTTAGTGGTGGATGCACTCTATTCAAAGATGTAGCACCTAAAATTTTAAAAATAAGGAAAAGTTCAAATGAATAATTCCAATTATTAGCAATATTTCAATATTAATCTCAAATATTGATAATTATAGTTTAATGGCCATCTTCCCTGAAATATCTGATGACTTGTATACATCTATTTAGCATGTCACTGGAAAACGTGGCCTATTTTGATTGGGTTTCAATAATTTATTGGGTTATTTTTTTAATGTTTTGTACTTTTCTTTCATTTCTATATTTTTTCTTCAGTTTTTCCCTTCTTTCGCATCTATTGGTTTCTCGCCAAGACATTGGCCCATCTTGAACAACTATGGAAAATTATGTATATTGAATTGATGATTACGATGTACACTGATGTAGTATAAATACAATACACGTGCTTGAGATAAGCTTTACTAACTAATGTTCCTAAGTAGTAGGAGACTAGATAAACTCTACTACCTAATATACAAATAATGTACATACGTACGTATAGCAATTAATAAATTAAATTATGTTCTATTACGCCCCCGCAAGATGGAGGTTCCATTGGAAACTCCCAGCTTGGACCGAAATTTTTCAAAGAGATGTTGACCCAAAGGCTTAGTGAGAATATCAGCAATTTGGAGCTTGTTGGAGATGTGTTGAACTTGAAGTTGACCGCTTTCAACAAGATCACGAACGAAGAAGAAATCCAAAGCAAGGTGTTTCATACGCGAATGAAACACAGGATTAGTACAAACATATGTAGCCCCTTGGTTGTCACAAAAAAGACGAGGAGTAGACATGTGCGAAACACCAAGATCAGCCAGAAGATTTTGTCTCCAAAGTAATTCAGCACTAGCATGGGCAACAACTCTATATTCAGCTTCAGTGGAGGAACGGGACACTGTCTTTTGTTTTGCCGACTTCCAAGAGATAATGTTAGACCCCAAGTAGACAACATACGCCGTAGTAGACTTCCCACCGTCATGTATACCACCCCAATCGGAGTCAGAAAATACTGATAGTGTCAGAGGAGAGTCACGAGTGAGAACTAAACCATAGTCCAACGTGCCCTTAAGATATCGTAGAACACGTTTGACACCAGTCCAGTGAACATCCGTGGGTGCATGCATGAATTGTGAAAGACGGTTAACGGCAAAAGCAATGTCTGGCCGTGTGAAGGCTAGATACTGAAGCAGACCAAGCACTCTTCGATATTGACTAGGATCAATGGTGGAAGACCCATGCGTGAGTTGTGGTGGGTTGGATGAGCTCATAGGTGTTACTGCATGCTTAGCACCATCCATATGACATGTTTCTAAAATGTGTAGTATATACTGTCTCTGAGATAAAAATACACCCGAAGCATGAGGAATAATTTCAATCCCAAAGAAATGATGCAGTTGACCAAGGTCTTTAACAGAGAACCGGGCAGTGAGTTTATTTACAAATGCTAGTATTGCTGTGGTATTATTGCCTGTAAGAACAATATCATCCACATATACAAGGAAATATAATAATATGCCCTGATGTGAGAAGATAAATAATGACTCATCAGCTCTTGATTTTCGAAATCCAACAGAAATAAGGAATTTAGAGAGCTCAAGATACCAGGCACGAGGTGCTTGTTTGAGCCCATATAGGGCTTTGTGGAGTCGACAAACATGGTGGGGATGTGTAGAATCACAAAACCCTGGTGGTTGGGTCATGTAAACTTCCTCAGATAATGTACCATGTAGGAAGGCATTGTTGACATCCAGTTGACGAAGTGGCCAATTTTTTGATAAAGCTATAGAGAGAATAACACGGATGGTGGCCGGTTTTGTCACTGGACTAAGGGAGTGTTTGCGATTGCTTCTACTTTAAAAAAGTGATTTTCTAAAGTGATTTTGGAGAAAGTACTTAATAGTAAAAGTTGGTATAGTAGTGTTTGAGAAAAAAGTGATTCTGAAAAAGTAAAAGTTGGTAGTGTTTGGTAAAATAAGTGTTTTTTGTGTAATAGAAAAAGTAAAAAGCAGTTTAAAGCACCCTTCTACCTGCTTCCAGCTTTTAGCTTTAAAGTGATTAATTTAAGCAGAATCTGTCATTTGAAAACACTCTTTTCAACTTTTTTTAAGCTAAAAGCTGAAAAGCACTTTTTAAAAGCTTCCGCAAACACTCCTTAAATGTCTCAAAATAATCCTTGCCTGGTTCTTGGAGAAACCCACGCGCCACTAGTGCTTTATAACGGGCCACACTGCCGTCCGCATTCCGTTTAATACGGAATAACCATTTGCATGTAATAGGGTGTTGGGATGTACGAGGAACCAAACTCCACGTGTGATTGCGTTGTAATGCAGCCATCTCATCATCCATGGCAGCCTTCCATCTTGGATCAGTCAGAGCCTGTTTAACACTCGAAGGTTCAAGAGTAGAGGGAATAGGATGGCGTGTGGTATTATTAACAAACGGTCCACCAATGTATTTTGGGTTGGGAACACGGTGTCGGTTTGGCCGTATAGGAATTACGGTGGGTGGAGAATGTTGTTGTGGACTAGAGGCAGGTATGGGAGTTTGGGAAATTAAATTGGGATGACTAGGATTTTGTGGAGGGGTCACGTGTGAATGTAAGGAGTGGGATAAGGAATGTGATAAGGATGAGGAGTTGGAATTAGTGATGGGGAGGGAATTAGTGGGGTTGCTTGAGATGGAATTTGGTGCTGGGTTTGATGAATTTTGACGGATAGTGGGGAGTGGTATTAGGGAACGGTCAGATAAGTTTGTAGGCGAGGAAGTAGGAGTCGATGGTGACTCATTTGGATCAGGACTCGGGGAAGGTGCCAACTCAAAATTTTCATGCAACGGTATAGACTCCCGTAATGACGTCCGACTCATGCACATGGAAGGAACACGAAATGGATAAATTGTTGATATAAAACGTACATGCCGACTGGTGTACACTTTATTTGTACAAGGATCCAAACAATAATAGGCAGATTGAGAAAGGGAGTAACCAACAAATACACACGGGATGGACCGAGTGGAAATTTTGGTAGGAGAATAAGGCCGTAGCCATGGATAACACAAACAACCAAACGGATGTAATTTTCCATAGTTTGGTTTTTGACGATAAAGAGACTGATACGGAGTAGCATTATTTAGGACTGGAGTTGGCAGTCTATTAATGAGATAAACAGCCGTGTGAAATGCATAGGTCCAGTATTGCAATGGAAGACCAGAAAAATGTAATAACGCTAAACCGGTGTCAACTATATGGCGGTGTCTACGTTCTGCAATTCCATTATGCTCAGGAGTGTGAGGTGGGGAAGTGAAATGGGAGATGCCGTTTTGATTAAGATATGAACGGAGTTTAATATATTCACCACCATTGTCAGAAAAAAGACTCCGAATTTTGGAGTTAAAATAATTTTCCACAAGACGATGAAATTGCGGAAAAATAGTGTTGACATCTGACTTTTGTTTAAGTGGATAAAACCAAATATAACGAGTATAATAATCCACAAAAATGACATAATAGCGACACCCGGTAACCGACACATGAGTTGTACTCCACACATCCGTGTAAATTAATTCTAGTGGACTTTGTGCATGCATAGAATTAATAAAAAACGGTAATTTGGTGCTTTTATTAACTGAGCATGACATGCAATGAGAATCACTAAAATGATTACACGATATGACACTTTTATTGTGACGAACTAATGAATCAAAAATACGACTAGATGGGTGACCAAGGGTGTGATGCCACTGAGATCGGGCCGAAACTTGGGAGACGTTGACTTGAGGAAGACTCCGGGACGGTGCATAATAGACATCGTTATGATTCATTCCTTGCATGAGTGGCGCCCCCGTGATCCGATCCTTAACAATAAAATGAGAGGGAAAAAATTCCACCGAAACATCGTTAGTCTTACACAATTTGGAAATAGACACAAGATTTTTCTGGATACGGGGAACACATAAAATATTAGAAAGTGTTAAAGGTCGGGAGTTGGTAGCTAAGGTAGTGGAACCGGTATGAGTGATTGACAGGGACTTACCATCACCAAGAGGGACCTCATCAGGACCTCCATATTCAGTATAGGAAGGGAGTGAGGTGGCTGCCGATGTTACATGATGTGACGCTCCACTATCAAACAACCACGGTTGTCCAGCCGCAAAAGAGTTGGCCGACGTAGTATTAACCACGGGTTGTGATGATGGCATAGGAGTATATATATGATTTTCCCGGAGAAATCGTTGCAACTTACGGCACTTTTGGACTTCATGACCTGGAATTGAACAAAAACGACAAATAACATTAGATGTAGAAGGTCTGGGCGAATGACCGAAGTGGCCACCACGACCACGACGTCCATGTGCTCCACGTCTCTCATAGTGTGGAGTTGGGTGACGTTCAGGAGTAGGTGACATCATGTTTGTAGCATGGGCAGTAGGTACAATCAATTGAGTTGCATTAGCCGCCTCTTGAATTCCTTTTTCTTTTTCCAGTAATAAGTCTTGCAATTGGGTTAATGGAAAGGCAGTGTCACGGACTCTTATAGCAGATATAATATTGCTATATTCCGGGCCGAGACCATTGAGAATGTGCACAACCAGGTCTTCATCCGATATGGGGTTTTGAGCAAGCGCCAAATCCTCGGCTATGGCATACCTTTCAGTGAGGTAATCAGTGATGGATCTGTTACCCCGTTTGGTCCGAGCAATGGAGGACTTCAGGGATATGATGCGGCCGCGAGATGTATTGGCGTAGGTGAGAATCAGCTTGTCCCACGCACTTTTGGCCGTAGTAGCCGACGAGATGAGTGGTTGAATAGTGTCGGAGCAACTTCCGATAAGGGCACTGATGATAGTGCGGTCTTGCCGATACCAAATGGCATAGCAAGGATTGAGCTGGGTTTTGGCAGTATCTAGATATTTCTCCGGGGCAGTGAGAGTGCCATCGACGTAGCCTTCAAGACCGAGGCCAACAAGAGCGGAATGCACTTGACATTTCCAAACAGAAAAATTGGAGGAAGTAAGTTTGATTGGAAAATGGTTGGTGGCGGTGAGGGAGATGACTTGGGTAGTAGCGGTGATCGTCATCGTGAAAAACAGATCGGAAAAAAAATGAACTCGTTAGAGTCTGGCTCGTGATACCATGAACAACTATGGAAAATTATGTATATTGAATTGATGATTACGATGTACACTGATGTAGTATAAATACAATACACATGTGCTTGAGATAAGCTTTACTAACTAATGTTCCTAAGTAGTAGGAGACTAGATAAACTCTACTACCTAATATACAAATAATGTACATACGTACGTATAGCAATTAATAAATTAAATTATGTTCTATTACATCTGAGTTCATCTTTAGAAAGCAGGACGCCGACCCATTCATGTTCATCTTCAGAAGCAGGTCATCGTAATCGAAGTTTCTGGCCAATGGGGACACTCAGTGGCAGAGGCAGAAAAGCGATTCAGGGGGCTCAAAACTTAAATAAATACAGAGATCACTTTTAGATAATACCTGAATTGAATGTTTCATATGTGCTTTAGATAAATGACAATTTAAATGAGACTAATAGAGTTTTAGATTTGATATATATTTCATACACATTCTATACTTCGGGGGTGTTTGGATCTGATTCTCAAAACTGATTCTGCTCCTTCATGGAGCAGAAACAGAAGCTGGAGTGTTTGGGTGAAATTCCAGAAGCACTTCTGGAGCTCTAATTTACTCTTAGAATCAGTTTTTTTAGAAGCTGGGGGGTACCAGCTTTGAAAACTGATTCTGATTCTGCTTCTGCTTTTAAGAAAGAAGCAGAAGCAGAATCAGTTCCAAACACCCCTTCATGTAGTAAAATAACTTCTCAAATTTTAGAAGCTATTTTTAAAATTTGAGAACCTAATCATTATTACGCTTCAAGTTTTGCTCATTTCACATTTAGTTAGTGCCAATTTTCCAGAAATCACATTATTTTACTCGTAATAATTTATGTGAGACAAAATATATCAACGACGAAGTGTGGTCGACTGATCACCCAGACCCCCTTGGCTCCTCCTTTGGGAACACTGGTCATTGGGGGAGAGGAAAATGAATAGTCTTAATGAGATATTCAATGGAGATCGAAGAAGAAGATTTAGACCAAAGAAGAAGATTGATATCCATTATGGCCATTTTTCTTCTTTTTCCTTTGCTTATTTATTTATTCTGTTCTTTATTCTTTCTTTTCTTCATGAGTTTCGTGCTTATCGTCACTTTGTGTTGTTCATTTTCTTTTCTTTGTTCATTTTATATTGTTTTGTACCATTTCTTTCCTATTTCATTGCATTTGCAATGAAGGAACTAAATTATTGTCCTGTATTTAAATCGAACACGAAAAATGTTTTATGAGGAACTGACAAACGACTCATGAAGCTTGGAACTTGATTAATGGAGCAGACTGAAACACAGAGAAAGGAAACAGGATGAATAGCCCTGGTGTTTTCTTATTCTGGGCTATCCTCCCAATTAAGTGATTAACTATCCGGTTGGTGGTGGGGGATGGAGTGTCATCTTTTATTTAAATCGAACACGATTTAAATATTGTCCATCGTGTTGTCATATTTAAAAGGAACTAAATTATTGTCCTGTATTTAAATCGAACACGAAAAATGTTTTATGAGGAACCGACAAACAACTCATGAAGCTTGGAACTTAATTAATGGAGCAGACTGAAACACAGAGAAAGGAAACAGGATGAATAGCCCTGGTGTTTTCTTATTCTGGGCTATCCTCCCAATTAAGTGATTAGCTATCCGGTTGGTGGTGGGGGGATGGAGTGTCATCTTTTATTTTCTTATTGTTGATTTCTTACTTTGGAACTTAATTAATGAAGGGGACTAAACACAGCTAGAGAAAGGAAACAAAATGAACAATCATAAGTTTTCTTACTATGAGATTTCTTACTTTGGAAGTAAATTAATGAAGGGCACCGAGACACACAGAGAGAGAAAGGAAACATGTTGAAGAGTCCTGGGAATTTTTTACTCTGGGTTTTGTTACTTTGGAACTTAATTAATGAAAGAGACTGAAACACAGGCAAAGGAAACAAGATGAAAAGTAGGGGTGGGATTTTGGAACCGGGAATCGTAGAACCGATTGGAACCGAACCGTTAACAACATCTAGGAACCAAACCGTTAACAATTAATACCTCATTTGTAGGAACCGAACCAAAGGCGGTTTATAACAGTTCGGTTCCCGATTCTTATAAAAAATATGTGCATGGAACCGTTATTAAAAAGAATAAAAAATAAATTAATATTAGTAGTAGTAGTAGAAACAATAACAATAATAATAATAATAATAATAATAATAATAATAACAATAATAACAATAATAATATTACAATAGCAATAATAACCACCACAACAACAATAACAATAAAACAATTTAAGATATTTAAGTAACAATTCTAATTTAATCAACGAAAACGAAGTAATAAATATTGTACATGAGGTTGATATAATACATTAAACTCCTTTCTACAAATCAAGTTTTGTTCCATCACATAAATTTTATAAATATAAAATAACCCAAATAACTTGTTAATGATTGCACATATTCTGCTTTACTATTTTCATGATATTTCTAATTATTAGATTTATTATGAATCAATGGAATGTAATAATGTTTTTTTATATCTATACATGCGAACAAAATGTATTTTTTTATGTTTTGAAAGACTTGAAGTAGGCGTCCTATTCTTGCTACTATGATGACGAGTTACCTTCATCGCTCTCACACTACAACGATTTTTATATTTTTATTTGTTACATGTAAATTTAAATCATTTTTTGTTCTATTATGTGTTCACAGTTCATTAGTTAAGTTTGATTTTTGATGTTTGAAGTGATTAGAGCTTCAAATAAAATTCTAATACTCGTTTTTTGAATTTTCGACATGTTTATGTTGTTTGTAGAAAGTAAATTATGTGTTAATTCTTAGATGAGAAAAAAATATTCTAGGAATCGGTAAAAGGAAGAACCGAACCGTTTACTACCGGTTCGGTTCCATAACGGTTCTTGATTTTTTATATAGGAACCGAACCGATTTCATTAGGTAAAACTTTTATAACGGTTCCACTCATTTTGAGTAAGAATCGAACCGGTCCCAGCCCTAATGAAAAGTCCTGAGTTTTTCTTACTTTGGGTATTCTTACTTTGTGAAAGTAGAAAAAGAATACTAAGGAAAAGAAGTCTTTGGTGTTGCTTTTCAAATTTTGAGTTGGAAACACAATTCTTTTGGGGATGAATTTCAAAAACGGCAATGAAAATATGATTTAAACGGTGCGTGCACAATCCTATTCTAGATCACTCATCGATCTCCCAACAGATAGATGATTATGAAATACACTTCATGAGAAATCTCATCATAGATCATTGCCTCCTTCTTAGGCAAGTGATACTGACTACAGTGGTCCATAGCCCCACACCACTGAACTTTCATTGATCACGTCGTGTCTAGGAACTCTGCTCCTAAATATTTTGAATTTTCTAGGACACATACACACTTATAGTCTGTTGTTGATCTTTTTAACCATGCGAGAATTTCCATAGATACATTAACTATAGATGCAGTTCGAGGATTGGAAGGAAGTCTTGACATTGCAACATCTCTATCATCTACGTGTTCAAACCATCCTTTAGAGTTTATCTCTAGAGAAATGATAACGGGTAGTCGTCTACGTGACCCCGGGACTACATTTTCCTTTGTTGATCCATGTGATCGTGCAACAATGACCGAAGTGACATCTACTTTAGATGCTTCATGAGGATTGGTCGGAAGCTCTGCTCAGGTTCTCATTGATTCTCAATCATTATAAGCAAGCCACACATTGATGTTAATCATTGATGATGTATCAATGGAACATTAAGGCATCTCCTGCTTTTTACCTTTTTTTTCATTTTTGTTTGTTTGTTTTTGCTTCTATTTTTCAGCATAATAAACATGATGCCCGATGAATTGGATCTTCAAGGGGGGAGAATGGTCCACGTGCATCGAAAATCAACCCATCATTATCGGACACCTCTCCATCATCAATAACAGGCGGCTTCCTCCACACCTGCACTTATTTTTCTTGATTACATCATTAAGCTGGTAGAGTCTCTCTTCCCATGGAAACGAGCATGCGGGAAACTGAACGATTCGACGGAATAAGCAACATGTTAGAAGCATAGCCAAACCCAAAGAAAAGGAGAAGTCTCTTTCGCTCGACCATGTCTACTCTGCTCTTTAAATCATTCGTGGATTCACCAGAAGATTTCAGTTTCCTCTCAAAAAACATCTCAAAGAGTTTGAGTTTCAATTCATCATCTCTAAATTGGGGCTTGAATAAATACGCTCCCACATGCTTCACATCCTACCAAATCTGCTCCACACAAATGGTCAACATACACTGCAAATCCATCTATCAATTCAGTTGCGCCACCAACAAGTACTCCTCAAGATCTTTCATAGTCAAAACAGTCAAAGAGAATACATTCAGGAAGAGACTTAGTTCGGACAATCTGAAACAAGAGGTGAAGCCCATGCCTATCAGAACTACCATCTTAAAGGCGACATCAGACTTCATACATGTTGATCATGTACAACTAAAAGGAGAGATGGTTTGACACAAAGGGGAACATGGTTGGCTCTGAAGTCTAACCATTTGATGGGGAAGCATGTCAACACAAAGACAAAGATAACCCGTGCTACAATGCATATTGACACAAAGGGGGACATTGTTAGGAATTATTTTATTGTGTCCAATTGCATTAGTTATCCTTGTATTTGTGTATTTCATTTACTTGTTGGGCCTTGTATTTATTTAGCTCATTTAATATTTATTATGTATTTCTTTATTCATATAGGAAAGTGGTATGTCACTTTCCTACAGGTCGGCTCACAATCCTTTGCACCGTACTGGGATATTAAACGCATATTCGTATGTATCCCAGACTGATTGAGTCGATCAAGAAGTTTGACTAAGCATTCCATTGTGTCCATACATTCCTAGAGAGAAGGGAGAGCCGTTGATTTCAAATCCCATGTACGTTCATCGCCATATTCATTGTGGGTATTGAATCCAAGCTTTAATCTTCTCTATTCTTGTTTTATGTATCTAATTGTTGGATAAATAGGGACATTCAATCTTTTTAACTC